TTTTCCCTCCATTTCGCTATTTTTTCTTCCTAGATTTCTATATCTTTGGATAATGGTGATTTCTTGGAGTGACACTGTATGCATTAACACATTAAATATTGTTTCTCATTTTTCCTCAGAAAAAGAATGGATAAGATCCTATGGTAATTAGATTTAATCTCTTTCGGTTGTCTATTTGCTTTTAGAGCCCCTGAATGGACTTCTTGCTGATAATCCTCCCACTCATGTTATGTTTTCTTCATTTTCAGGGTGATAGAATAGACATCCATCTATGGCATCTCAAGTGATTCGTGAATGGATGGGTATTCAGCAGTTCCCACCGGCCACCCAGACTAAGTTGCTCGAACTGCTGGGAAAACTTAAGCAAGAGGTTCCATTTCTCTACTTAACTCTCAGTGCAATGGACATCTGTTTGTGCATCTATCTGCTAATTAGAACTTCATATTGTTTGTTTTTTCTTGACATATTCTTTCTGTCTCTGTTTATACTGTTACTATTGATCATACCTGTTTAGAATGTGAACACTTTGACTATCCTTGTGATGGGGAAAGGCGGTGTTGGGAAGTCATCGACTGTAAACTCAATCATAGGGGAGAAAGTAGTTCCTGTTAGTACCTTTCAGGTATTCATTGCTTTTCTTGGTCATGAAAGTTCTTCTAATGGTATCTGCTGCTTGACAAATTTTACATACGAATTATATCGTCTATATTTGATAGTCTGAGGGTCCAAGACCAATGATGGTTTCACGCACAAGAGCTGGATTTACATTAAACATCATTGACACTCCTGGGCTTATAGAAGGAGGATATGTAAATGATCAGGCTCTTGAACTTATAAAACGGTAATTTCCACCTTGAAATGTGCAAATTTTGTATTTTGGAGTCTATGGTTTAATAAATTAATTTCATGACATTATCTGATGATTACATTTTCTTTTGTTTGGTTCTGGGACATGTAGTTTCCTTTTGAACAAGACTATAGATGTTTTGCTATATGTGGACCGTTTGGATGCATATAGGGTGGACAATTTGGACAAACAGGTCGTCAAAGCCATAACAGATACTTTTGGTAAAGAAATTTGGAATAGGGCTCTGGTTGTCCTTACACATGCTCAGCTTTCACCACCGGATGGGCTGAATTATGATGTCTTTTTCTCCAAACGATCAGAGGCTCTTCTAAAGGTTGTTTGTCTAGGTGCTCGATTAAAGAAACATGATATGCAGGTGGGTTGCTTCCCATTTTCTGGAATACTTTTTTTGGTTTACCTACCCTAAGAGAAATGAAAATACTATTTCATCAAAAAGAAAAAGAAAACACAATATTTATATTTATATTTATATTTATATTTATATTTTTGTATTATAAGAGTTCTATTAATTTTTTAATTTGGTGTAGCTTGGAAATATATTAAGTTATGTACTGAAGCTTGGCGTTTGAACACTTTGCATGAGGGTCACATTTCGGTCGATTGTTGGTTGACATGCCCCAAACTTTTTTATCTTGCCTTGTTTGTAATAGTAGCATAGTTCTTTCAAGAAAAAATAATAGAAGTGTAGTTTTGTGTGTTCTGTGTTGAGTATGTTAACATATGATGTCTTATTGATTTTCCAGGGATCTTCTTTTTACCCCAAAAAAATTTATTTTTGCTAAACATATAAATCTTTTCCTTCATGTTAATTTTTGTCTTGCTTCTGCTAGGGTTCCACAATACCTGTTGCTTTGGTTGAGAACAGTGGAAGATGTAATAAGAATGAAAGTGATGAAAAGGTTAGGTGTTTGCTTTAATTGTCGGTTCCTTTCATCCTCCATTAATAATCTATTTGTGTTGGGATTAGTGACAGTTGGGTGCTTCCTTGGTGATAGGTTCTTCCAAATGGTACAGCCTGGATCCCCAATTTAGTTAAAACTATCACAGAAGTTGTCTTCAATGGGAGCAAGGCTGTTTATGTTGACAAGAAGTTGATTGAAGGGCCAAACCCCGATGAAAAGGGAAAGATTTTCATACCTTTTATTTTAGCATTACAAGTAAGCTTCTAAAACATCAGGCTTTTTAAACTCTTCCTATTGAACGGGCAGATATTGACTCCCAAGCCTTTTCATGCTGGCAGTATTTACTTGTTGTGAAACCAATGGTCCGGGCAATCAAGTCTGATATTGCCAAGGAGAGCAGACCGGCGTGGGAGCTGAGGGATACAAATGTTGCTGGTCGCAAGTTCTGAATCCCTCAAAAAGTTTTCTTTGATATTTGGTGTTTCTTTTTTTTTTTTTTTTCTAGTTTTGATATATTTCATCTGCACGGATTCACACCTGTGCATCTCCTGTTTCTGATGTTGCTTACTTCTTTATAACCTGCAATAGCAATGATCTGCGGCCAGTGGATTTCCTTAGTGCTGAGAGAACTGGATTTTGCACTTGTGATAGATTATGTACTTGTTCCTGGAATCTTGTTTTTACTAGTTGTAATTATGGCGCTCATTTAAGTAATCATCACCTCATTAATTCCCCATTTGCCTAGACTCAGATTTCCTTTAGGCAAATACCTTTTTTCCCCCAGATTGACAACAGTGGGAACTGGGTCCCGCAGAAGCTAACGGCAGCATTAAGCTCCCTCGTTTTGCAGTTGTTTTTGCTATTGAATGAGCTTATTAGTTCGGATTGAATGAGGAATGAGAATTGGATACTAAACAAATGGGATGAAAATTTGAAACAAAGTGTTTTAATTCAATTTTATTTTTAAAGAATCAAAGTTTATTCTTATAATTCAAGTATATGTTAAATATATGCAATCTGATTTTTAGATATGAAGCAATTAAAATCTAAGAATTGTCTGATATGGGCAAGGAGGCATCTACTTTCTAAGAATTCCATCCCTGTTTCGTACGGGTATCCAAATGCAGGGTACTTCTCCAGCTAATTATGCAGTTATTTGTGTATATTTTGTTGTAATTTAAAATGATACAGTACAATTATTGGTAATCTCGTTGCATAATATTATTAAATCATTACAAAATCTGTCATCTTTCTGAATCAACGAATATGTATCCTGTTTTACAAGCCTGTTTAATAATTAATGGTTATTTGCATCCCAACTATTTTTCCTTCTTTAAAGGTATAGTCTTTGACCACTTCTTATAGAGGAACACTCTAAAATGTGTGTCTATGTGTATATATATATATATATATATGTATGTATGTCTATATTTAAAATAAAAAAAACAGAAATTATTTTGATCACTCATCTCATGATAATAGATAGATGATTGGCTTACCCGAAAAAGAAGAAAAGAGAACTAAGACGATATGGCACTTGCTCTCAAGCCGTCTATGGTATCGACTCCTTCACCCACTCTGAGTAATACCATCAAAATTAGTATCACCAAAGCCTTCTTCCATCTTGGTTCAAACATCATCACTTCTCCAATAGCAACAACATACGACAGAAATCAACGGCCCTCCTTTCTCCTCCCAATCCCATATCGGATCTCCACCGATGATTTTGAGTCCGTGGATGATGATTGCAGCTTTGATGGAGCTGTTGCGCTCTTCAACCAGGGAGAATATTACAAGTGCCATGACCTTCTCGAGGCTCTGTGGAACAAATCCGAAGATCCCACCAGAACTCTAATTCATGGGATTCTACAATGTGCTGTTGGGTTTCATCACCTCTTTAACCAGGTAATTTTACTTTCTTTCTTTCTTTACAATCATATGAAGAATATGTTACACACACACATATATATATATATATATTTGCAGAACCACAGAGGAGCCATGATGGAGTTAGGAGAGGGGCTATGTAAGCTCAAAAAGATGAACTTTGAAAGCGGACCTTTCCATCAGTTTGAGCTTGAGATTTCTGCAGTCCTGGATTTCATTTATCAAACCCAGATTGAACTCGCTGCCTGTAAAATCTTCTTTCCTTTCCTTACCATTAATTCAATCTGTTATTGTGCCATTGCCAATATGCCAAGCGAGTAGATTTTAATCACTAGCACTTACACACACATATATATATGTAGTGATTCTTTGATCTGAATGAAGAGTGAATATATGCAGAGAAGAGAGAACAATATGTACTGATTTTTCCAATTGTTTTGTTTGCAGGCAGTGAAGATCTATGTTTAACAATGGATCAATCTGAGAGATCATACCAGTTGCTTGGGGGCTACGGTGCAGGTCAACACTTGTACCATTTAGAAAATGATGGCAGCGATGATACGTACATAGTCTTCTCCCCTCCCGCATCACATAACTCCCAGTCTCACCAACCTCCAAGAGTGAAGCTTCCCACTATTGATGCAACATACTATCATCTTCCGATCATGTCAGTGTAACTCATCACCTCCCTCTCATACATTACATTTTCATACATGTATAGCCACCGCAATAACTAGAGATGGTGTAGGACTTGATATTAAATTATGATCCTTTGTGATCTTAGAAAGAACATTTAACTCTTTGAAAATATCATTCTGCCATATGATAATTAAATAGGCAAATCGAGTACAGAAAGTAAATAGACACAGAACATACGTTGTTCGATCAAGATGATTTATTCAACATCAAATATGAATTTAGATTTGCCGTCAAATTCTGAAAGATATGACATGTTTTCTCTCTCAAATTCAAGCCCCAATACGTTCAAATATCACAAAATAACTAAAAGAACAATTAACTACGACGAAAAAATAGTAGTACTGAAGGTTGCAGGAAAGTCTTGTGAGATCAAGAAAAACACATTGTGACAAATATGACTAGGGATACGATAAAAATGAAGGGGGGCTCTGTGCAACTATTGGTCAGTGACAGATTATCAACAGTGTCATTGGCAGGCATGAAACAGTCACCCTTGTGATTCCATGGAGTGGGCAATTCTTAACATGAATCTTTTTCATGTCCATCAACACCCTTGTGATTCCATGGAGTGGGCAATTCTTAACATGAATCTTTTTCATGTCCATCAACAAGGAAATAATGGTTTTTTCCCTAGCATGATTGGTAAATGAAAACTATCATAAATGAGGAAAGGCTCAAAGTACTCGAAGAAGCTTTTTTTTCAAAAAAAAAAAAAAAAGAAGATACAACGAATCAGCTTTCACATCCAATGCAGCATAAAGTGTAGTTAAGATTTTAAGTTCAACCGGCAAAACTTTGAAAAGGTAATGGAAAAGATAAACACTATTCTTGAAAAGAATTGAAGTTGCACTTAGCAAAGATGAAAGATCAAAAGAGAGCCGCAACAGAGTTGGCCCATATCTTATAACCAGCATGCATAAAGCATCAATGAAACAGATGAAAATACAAGACTGAAATATAAAAAAAAATGCCTGTTCTTTACTGATCGAACAAGTCTAGACCGAGTAGTGCAGGAACACCAGTTTGTCTTTGTACTCATGTGAATCACTTTTGTAGTTTGCTTGGCTGCAAACATGCTGACTCATCCTTATGTAGTAGCGCTTTTCAACATATCCTGTAACATTTGGTGATAAATGGAGACCAATGATTAGAAAATTCCCAAACACACCACATGTAAACACCAATCAGTGCACATGGATGTACAAAAGTAGAGAGACAGAGTTACCTCAGAAGAAAAAAAACACTTATTTGTGCCAATCTAAGCAACATCAAGATTCTCTTGCTTATCATCTGCATCTTGGGGGCGAAAGCAATAGCGAAAATAAATAAATTGACTTAGTATCTGGATTAGGGTGATAAGGATCTGGACAGATTGTTACAAATTTTATGTGCTAATAGCATGCTGGTCAATCATCAAGAATGGATATGACTACTTTTTTGTAAGTTCCTTGCAATCAATTTGGATCATTCAACCATCAAAATGTCTTACTACACATTGATGCAAAATTGACAATTGCAGAATTTTCTGGTTCAGTTCATATGCCAAGAGAAAACTTGAAAGCAAACCTTTATCTCCCACTAATAGAGACAAGGGTTATTCAAAGGATACTAAAGTGTCAAGCAGCACACAGCCTCCTGCATCTACCAGCCATGGTAGATTCGGTCTGATCCTTGACCATTCCAGACTGCTGACTAGGATGCTACAAAATTGAGGAAATAGACAGGTTGCTAAAGAAAATAGACAGGATTTCTAGAGTGACATTGATTATCGAAAATTCAGAGGTTATATTCACCTCGCTACATAGGTGGCATTCCCAACTAAAGCAAAGAAAAACATCAATGGATTTAGACCCTGCATGTTGTTGACCCAAAAGTATCAAACAAGAGCAACTCTGCACATGACCAGATTTTGTTCCACCCCTAATTTGTTTCCTGAAGAAAGTTATACAAAAGGATTTTCAGAACATTCTTACCTCAACATTACCCCTTCTAATCTGCAAAAATTGATTAAGAACACAAGTAAGACACATGAAACACGATCATCGACCTTTCTACCTATTGCTGTTGTATGGCAAAGAATATATCGACAAGAACATAAAAATAGATGATGGAAGCAGAACTGTCCAATTGTAATCAGCCCGTCAAAGCCATTCTTACATTTAAACATATTTGAGGAAGACGTCCACCCATGTAAACAGCTGCCATCACCCAACCAAGGAAACTTCCAAATCCACTGTCTTCAAAACTGTGTACCATATTCCCACCAATGACCTGAAATTGAAACCATATTTCAAGTACACCGGGCTTGAATTCCAATTCTCTCTTACAAAATAAATAGGGAAAGGAATTAAATGCTGGTAGAAGAACAGGGGATCTGTTAAGAGTCAAGGATCTCAGGGCTTAGAATTGTAATATTCTCCTTCTCTAAGAAATTTTAAGCTCCATCTGCAATCCACAATCAATTTATGAAAATCCTTGGACAACCTAAATATAACAAGCAGAAAAGCTACACAATTCAGTCAAGAAGTGGGAACTATTCTGGAAAAGAATATGTGGATGAACCTGGGGAAGCAGAAGGTCACATCAGAGAACCATATTTAGTTAAACACGTTGCTTTATATATTTATTTATTTTTTACATCAACGAAATAGGAAACAGAAACCACAAACCTAATGCTACACAAAGAAAAAAGAAGAAACATAAAATACAGCACAGACTACCTGCACAGTTTTATGTTCACCATG